TTGAGAATGGAAGGAGTAAACCAATTACCATCATAATGCAAAGGACTTAAGTAGAACTTTTCAATGCATGTAGTAGAGATAACTCTCTTGGATACATGTAGTGATGTGTCTAAACAATTTATTGTGGTTGAATATTCTTATTATTGTTTTGTGATATCATGGACGAATCTTTGAATGAAATTGTGCTACGGCAAGCCCCATAAGAACATCCAATTATGAAATTGATTGCTATTTGTTAGTGCAAGAAATTGATCTGATCTGAATTTTTATTTTGTTAGGGAGGGGTTCTACTTGGTCCATCTGCTCTAGGCCGCAACGAGAAGTATCTGCAAGCTATATTTCCACCGAAGAGTCTTACAGTGCTAGATACCTTAGCCAATTTTGGCCTCCTCTTCTTTCTTTTCCTCGTTGGACTGGAGCTAGATCCAAAGTCCCTTCGTCGGACTGGAAAGAAAGCTCTAAGCATTGCCCTAGCAGGAATCAGTGTTCCTTTTGCATTAGGAATCGGGACATCCATTGTTCTCCGGGCAACTATTTCTCAAGGAGTAAACCAAGGCCCTTTTCTGATCTTCATGGGAGTTGCCCTTTCTATTACTGCCTTCCCCGTTTTGGCTCGTATTTTAGCTGAACTCAAGCTTTTAACAACTGATGTTGGTCGAATGGCTATGTCTGCTGCAGCAGTCAATGATGTGGCCGCATGGATTCTACTCGCTTTAGCTATTGCCCTCTCAGGTGTTGGTCGTTCTCCTCTTATTTCGTTGTGGGTCCTTTTGTGTGGGACTGGTTTTGTGCTACTATGCATACTCATCGCTCCTCTTATATTCAAATGGATGGCGAGACGTTGTTCTGAGGGTGAGCCAGTGGACGAAAAATATGTGTGCGCTACATTGGCAGCTGTTTTGGCTGCAGGATTTGTGACTGACACAATTGGCATTCATGCCCTGTTCGGAGCTTTTGTGCTCGGTGTTCTTGTCCCAAAGGAGGGACCTTTTGCGGGTGCTCTAGTGGAAAAAGTCGAGGATCTTGTCTCTGGTCTATTTCTTCCTCTCTACTTTGTGTCTAGTGGATTGAAAACGAACATAGCCACTATTCAAGGAGCTCAATCATGGGGTCTTCTTGTTCTTGTCATAGTTACGGCATGTTTTGGAAAGATTGTTGGCACTATTGTGGTCTCACTATTGTGCAAATTGCCGGTCCAAGAGGCTGTAACTCTCGGTTTTTTGATGAACACTAAAGGTTTGGTGGAGCTCATTGTTCTCAACATTGGCAAAGATAGAGGAGTAAGCTTCAGCTTGATAACACTTCCTTTATTTTAGATTTACTACTTATAGTTTTGTTGTGCACCGGGCTGCCCTTTTTTTACTTATAGTTTTGTATCGTTTTTGACTGATGATCGGTTTTGCAGGTACTTAATGATCAAACATTTGCCATCATGGTGTTGATGGCTCTCTTCACAACATTCATCACGACGCCTATAGTGATATCAGTATATAAGCCAGCTAAATTAGCCGTGACAGCATACAAGCACAGAACAATAGAGAGGAAAAACACGAGTAAACAGCTCCGAATCTTGACCTGTTTCCACAGCACAAGAAACATTCCTACAATGCTCAATCTCATTGAGGTTTCTCGGGGTATTGAGAAGAGGGAAGGACTTCGTGTCTATGCGATGCACCTCACGGAGCTTTCGGAAAGGTCCTCTGCAATTCTGATGGTCCACAAGGCTAAAAAGAATGGGCTGCCCTTTTGGAACACCGAACAGGTACAAGATTCAAATCAAATTGTTGTAGCTTTTGAGACTTTCCAGCATCTTAGTAAGGTGTCTATTCGACCGACTACTGCAATCTCTCCTATGAACAGCATGCATGAGGACATAGTGACTAGTGCTGAGAGAAAAAGGGTTGCAATGATAATTCTCCCATTTCATAAGCACCCGAGACTTGATGGACATTTGGAAACAACCCGAGGTGATCTTAGGCATGTGAACAGGAGAGTTCTTCAGCATGCACCATGTTCGGTTGGCATATTAGTAGACCGTGGTCTCGGTGGAGCTTCTCATATACCTTCAAGTAATGTTGACTTTTCGATAACCGTCTTGTTTTTCGGTGGACATGATGATCGCGAAGCGCTAGCTTACGGTGTGCGTATCGCTGAGCACCCGGGGATCAGTTTGGTGGTGGTTCGGTTCACAGTGGACCCTGAGGTTACTGGGAGCAGTGTCAAGATTGAAATGAACGACAACTCTACCCCCGAGGCTCGATCCGAGGATGAAGAGTACCTTGCTGATGTGAAGCACAAATCTTCAATGGATGGCTCGATCAAATTTGAGGAGAGGACGGTGAAAGATGCTCGAGGGACTATAGAAGCAATCCGTGAATACAATCGCTGCAATCTGTTTCTGGTTGGCAGAATGCCCGAGGGACAATTAGTTCTAGCTTTGGATAAAAGAAGTGACTGCCCAGAATTGGGATCTTTAGGGAACTTATTGACATCACCAGAATTTTCAACGACAGCGTCAGTGTTGGTGGTGCAGCAGTATCGCAGCCAGTTACCTCGAGAATCACTCAGTTCTTTGAAGGAAGAAGGAGAGTCAACAGACGGTGATTATAATTCAGAATAAACGTCGATTTGCTAGCAATTCATCAAGGTTATTAAGTGTTTAATGTACAGTAATAGATCAAGAATGAATTACCAACTAAGAAAGATACATTACTGGCACTCAAGGCTTATATACATGTACTCCTTTCCCTTGTTTTTCCTTCTGCTCTATTATTTGTAAAACTGCAAACTCTTGAAGTTTTTTGTTAATTGGCATTTGTATCAATTGTTTAACTTCGTTGCCTAATTAGAATTATCACCTTTTATCATTTTGTTGAAGGGGAGCCTCGGAGAAACGGTAAAGTTGTCTCCGTGTGACGTATAGGTCACGAGTTCGAGCCGTGGAAGCAGGGGCGAAGCCACATTGTCCTAAGGGTGGTCAATTGACCACTCTTCGTCGAAAAATTACACTGTATACATAGGTAATATATTAGGTTTTAGAGGTATATAATATATATTGAATAACATTTGTCGGAGAAATTTTTTCACTTTCTTTCAAGTTTGAATACCCTTGGAAGCAGCCACGAATGCTTGCATTAGGGTAGGCCACACCCCTACAGGTGCGGCCATTCCCCAGACCTTGCATGAATGCGGGATGCTTTGTGCACTAGACTGCCATTTTATCATTTTGTTGCAACTACAGTCGTATTCTGCTATGGCATACAGAAATTATAGATGATGTAAAAGTATGAATATATGTTGTCCCTTCTATGGCAGTTGTTTGCTTGTTGGCCTATAAACAAGGGGTTTACTTATGAAGGTCATGAGATTTGAATCTTTATAATCTGATTAATAATTCTAAGAGGAATGATAACATTTATCCACCATATACTTCTATAAACCTAGATAATTGTAGACACTACATTTTTCTGGCTGTTTTAATGATGAAGCTATTGACTATAGTATTGTTATCTACACTGTTGCTTTTGCAGATGTTTCAATATATCAGGTTGTGACAATAGTGAGTGTTACATAAGGTTGTCTAGGAAATGTAGTGAATCATTTTTACTCATTCCATTCTGTTCTTAATATTCTGATGATACATCGTTAGCTTATTCTTTCACTGAGCATCAACATACAACAATCTTTCTCTTTTCTTTTGGACTCTTTGAAGGGACCCTTGGAACAACGGTAAAATTATTTTCGTGTGACCTATAGGTCACGTGTTCGAGCCATGGAAGTAACCATTAATGCTGGGGTACTGTCCTTTCTCAGACCCTGCGTGAACGGGGATGCATTGTACGCGGATGTAGTGTGGTAGTTGTGGGTTCAATTCAACCCATAACATTCAGACGCTGAGTAGAAATTTATATGAAAAAATTCATTAAAATTGCAAAAATAATAGATTTGAACCCATAACTTTAAAAATATAATGGGTTCAATGTTTAAAATCTTTAAAGCTGAACCCATAAAGTTTAAATCCTGGATCCGCCTATGACCGGACGTTACTATCTTTAGGACTTTTTGCCTACTATTCTATTCGAAGCTACAAATTAGGTTGAAATCAAAAGAAGAAAAAGCTTTTTCATCCCTTTACAACCGATAACTCTCTCTTGCTCATTGTTGACCTTTTGATTTGAAGTGGGAACTCTTTATTCATTGAGTTGTGCATTTCCTTAAATTTTGATTGGTTAACCACACTATGAATCAATAAAGAATTAATTTCCACTTCCAATCCATTTTGATGATGACAGTCTGATAAGATATGGGCCTGGTTTCTCGGCCCAACTTTGTTTCACTTGTCGGCCCAAATCTTATGATACTACTCCTTTAGCAAAAGGATAAAACTTGGGAAAAGAATATAGTGTAGCCTTTATAAAAAATAATAGCCCGCAAAATGTATATCTTTTGTATATTAATATATAACATACAAAATTTATTCATATTTTATGCATAATCAATATATATATATATTTTGTATATTGGCTAGCAAATGTAATTATTTTTTGTCAACCGGCCAAATATATAACTTCCCATAAAACTTTGAGACCAAAAAAAAAAAAAAAAAAAAAAAAAAATCCTCCCAATTTTTAAAGTTTGTGTAATAATCAGCTTGGCAGCTTTGTCTTATTTGTTAAAAGCGTACAAAATTTATTGCTATATCTGTAAGATTTTAAAGTATGAAACACTAAATAAGACAAGTCGAATGGTCAATCTTTCTGTACAAGATTAAAAAATGGAGTTCGTGCAACTTAACTTTGTCTTCAACCCTGTACAACTATTGAAACAAGCAGATAAACATTTTCTCCAAATTTAGTACTAAGCTATTAAGGTATATTCTTTGATCACTGAATTCACGCCGTACTAAATAATATATAACAGTAACATGAGTCTTTTGCCCTATATAACTCGAAAAAATCACTTCAATTTCTCAACGAAAAAAGCCATTAAACTTATAAACCATGGAAAAATCTTCTTATTTCAAGATCCTTTCCATTATACTTTCTTCCTCATGTTTCCTCATAGCCAATTTTAAAACCCTAAAACCCGAAAAACCTTGCAAACGATTCGTTCTCTATTACCACGACATCCTCTTCAACGTTACAAATACTGCGAATGCGACCTCTGCAAATGTTTCAAACCCTCCAAATGTCATAAGCGATTTCAACTTTGGAATGTTAGTTGTTTTCGACGATCCAATAACAGTAGATCAGAAATTGGTGTCAACGCCCGTGGCACGAGCTCAAGGGTTTTATTTATATGATATGAAGACTACTTATAATGCATGGTTTGCTTATACATTGGTGTTTAATTCTAGTGAGTATAATGGTACGTTAAGTATTATGGGAGCAGATATTATAGGGGAGAAAACTAGGGATCTTTCTATAGTTGGAGGGACAGGAGATTTCTTCATGGCTAGAGGTGTTGTTACGTTTAGTACTGATGCTGTTGAAGGGTTGGGTTATTTTCGTCTAAAAATGGATATTAAGTTGTACGAATGCTAATAGATATATACTCAAGCGGTGTTAGAATTTGAAGCTAATGAGTTCAAAATTTATCTTTTTAAGTTACTGAATTATAAATTATACTATTAGATATATACTAGCATTATTATAGACTAGAGATCACTGTGTTTGTGTTCTTTTTCTTTTTTCTTTTCTGCGACGTTGTCAAGTAGTTATAATAAGGAAGGATATCTATATTTAAGCCTGCTTAAAATGTGAAATTTTTAATATTGAGAAGACCTGGTACAGTATTCTCCTCGGGAATCAAAAGAAATACACATATATTCTCAAAGAGACTAAAGATAAAGAAAAAAAACAAAACAAAAACAATTCGTAAAATAAAATTGAATTGAAGTTGAGGTACTTGCCTTCAGATGTACAGAAAAATAGAATGTGATAGGTAAACTTAACTTAGGTTTTTTTTTTTTTTTTTTTTCTAAAAAACTATATCTTCAATAACTCTTAGAAAAGTGGTTGGTGAAAATGGAAGAACACAAAGTTGGCTGGCTCACCTAATGTATAAGATCCGTTATTATTTGGTTTGAGGAAGTCTGACGCTAGCTATGATTTCGACTACATTTCAAATCTAATATTAAATAATAATAAAAAATAAAAAATAACACTATTTAGCCGGTCTCAAAATTATAGCCGAATAATATATATATATATTATAGAGGAATTTTCAAAAATCACTATTGTTTAGTGGCTATTAACTTCCTATAGCTACCGTATACATAAGTACTTCCTATAGCTACTATGCAGTTGTTATGGTAGTGTATTCGCTGTATTCGCGCTGCTGTATTCATGAATACAACAACAAAAGGTGCCTAAAAATCAGGGTACGCGCATGTATTCACATGTATTCGCGCCATGTATTCATGAATATAGCAGCAAAAAGCGCCTAAAATCAAGGCAGTCCAGCTGTACGCGCATGTATTCACATGTATTCGCGCTGCTGTATTCAAAAAAGGCCTAAAATCAGGGCAGTGCAGCTGTACGCGCATGTATTCACATATATTCGCGCCATGTATTCATGAATACAGCAACTGCAATCACCTTAAAAATAGGTATGTCCAGCTATCTAATAACGAAAATAATATCAATTAGCTACACTCATAATATAACTCAACAAAATCAATTCTATCATGCCTCATTATCAACCCAATTAATTAGAATAATTTTTCAGTTGTATATAACTTTCATATTTAGTGTGTTTCAATATTATTTTTTACTGTTGCGTTCATTAGATTCAATGTTTGTATTTACTGTATTCGCTATTTTATATTCAGTGTATTCAAATATATTCGTATTAATAGTATTTTGGTTATTCCTAATACATGTTATTACTGTTGTATTCAATATATTTCATTGGTTGTATTCAGTGTATTTGACTGTATTTTACTATATTTTAAAATTAAATATATTCACTATTTATATTCAGTATATTTCAATGGTTATATCCTCTATTCATGCGTACTGTATGTACAGTATGCATGAATACAGGTGTATTCAGCTGTATTAAAAAAATACAGACCTTCGAAATACATAAACACAGGCAAATAAAATATATTTATACAAAAATACAATGTGTTTGAGTGAATTTGTACAGAATACAATGTATTTGTATCATTGTATGTAACTAAACAGCAAAGAAGAGAAGATAGTTCATCGAAGATGGCGTTTTCCGGCCAAGACTCCTTGTATCTCATCACTACCTCTTCCATTACAATTTACAACGCTTCCAATTCGACCGCTTCTTCGACCGCTTCTTCCTCCTTTCTCTCTTACTTACCACGCTAAGAATCCCTCTTTCTCTTCAATCTCTCTGTCGCCCAAGGTATCTTTGCTTCCTTTTTTTGATTATAGGTTTACTTTCATATTTCTGATTATGAGTTTTTTCGGTCTTCTTTCATGATTTGTTTCTCGTTCGTGTATCTATGATTTGAAGAGAGAGAGAAAGAAGAAAAATTCTGAGAGAGAATCATGTGTTAATTGAAAGAAAGAGAGAGGAAAAACATAAACAGCGTATTTCATGCATCAATTGTAGTATATACCATAAATACTTATTTTTCTGTAAAATATAAAAGGTAGCTATAGAAAATAATATTTTAAAATAATTTTGGTTTATAATAAATGCGGTGTATACCTTTGCTATAGGAGGTAAAATTTTCTATATTATATACGAAAAATATACAAATGATACTTTTGTGGCTATCAAATATAAATAATTTTGGCCCGCGGGCTAAAAGTATTTTTTGCTCAATAAAAAGGTGGGTAGTACTTTGAATTCTCATATTAACAAATTTTAGATTTATTTCGTCTTAGGATTTACGTTTTCATAATTAATGGATTTGGACACCTAATTTTTTGCTAGCTCTATTGTAATTCTTTCCCTTTCGAAAGCTGTTGTTTCCACGTAGGAGACTTAAAGGTTTTATCCTCCAATTATATTTCTTTGACCTTTGGTGATCCAATTATTGATCAGCCATATGATAATTAGATTATGATTTTACTCTATGTTCATCACAATTCACAAGTCAAACAATGGAAAATAAAATGAAAGTTGATGGATTGTTAGACTTTAAGATACATTACCAAATATATCCTCTTTATCAAACATATCATCTCTAGCAACAAAGAAAAGGAAAAAAAAACAAATTGTACGGTGTTGGAAAAAGTGAGGAGTGTAAAGGTGGAACTTAATTAACTCTATATAGTATTTTTACGTCTGCACATTATGGTTTACTTCTTAAGTACTTTTTTTCTTTTCAACGACTTTTACTATTATACATACATATTCCCGAAAATGAAAGTAATATGCAGTTATATTCAGAGTCTTATGTAACTCTTTTTTGATTTCCCACTATGTATTCCATACCGCATGAGCCTCCGATTAATTCGAATCTGTGTCGCGTAATAAGGCTCAGGCCTGGTTCGAACTCAAAAGGATGGAGAAATCCTATTCATCCTATCACAATCCTTGATGATTGAGTCTTATTTAACGTTTATATCTTTGTGTGTCGGTTTCGGCAAATGTTCATGAGCTTGACACCAGCTAATAAAGAGTTTATGTTTTGTGCACTATATATATAATATAATATACTATCACGTCAATATACGCAAACTTTTTTTTATAATAAACAAGACATGATAACTTGAAAATTCAATTAGACCAAAATTGTACACGATTAAAGGCAAAATCCTTTATGACAGATTAAATCGCGAGGCGAGAACAACATTAGCGTACTTGTTAATAACGCAACGGAAGAATTATTAAACTCACCACCAAAATAATAGCCCTAAGTCGTACTCTGAATCTCAATAAATTAAAACAGAGTTCTTGTTCACAAATTAGAGGTGTGTTTGGTATGAAGGAAAATGTTTTCCTAGAAAATGTTTTCATGGAAAATGAGTGGTTTTATCACTCATTTTCCCTTGTTTGGTTGGTGAGTGAAAAATATTTTCTAGTATTTGGTTAGAGAGTAGAAAATATTTTTTTGTTGAAATAAAAAAAATACTTTTTCTACATGAAAAGAAAGTATTTTTTTTGTTAAAATGAAAAAAATATTTTTTTATATCATGAAAAAAAAATACTCATTTGTTGAAATGAAAAAAAAATCTATTTATAACATGAAAAGAAAGTACTATTAATAATATTTTTATTTAGGGTGGGGTGGGGTGGAGTGGGTAGGTGGAGGTGGGTATTTGTGGGGATGGGGAATAGGGTGGGGAAGGTTGAGAAGGAGTTTTAGAAAATGTTTTCCTTTCTCTTAATAGGGAAAACATTTAGGCTAACCAAACATGAGAAAATTGGAAATCATTTTCCGAAAAATGTTTTCCTTCATAGCAAACACATCCTAGATGCCTTAACTTTACTGTGTTCAATCTTTTTGTATGAGGGAGAATCTATGTGTATCGAAGATGGGGAGATTTGCCTATCGCTTCAACCGTTTGCACACTCCAACTATTAATGTAACGTGCGACACTTCTCCTAATCTTTTGGGAGTTAATAAATTCTCTGATAATTAACTTACTTCAGTCTTATCTCTTCTCTTCTAAGTGGGCCGGAGTAGTACACATCGGCGACCCGTAACTCTAACCCAATATCCAACACTTCACACTAACTTCAATGTTATTGCGTGATATTTCAGCACTGCAATTTTACACTAATTTGTTGGAATAAAGCTGGTCTGGTTGATTTCATAGACATGGCTTGAAATCCAATCCGATATTGCCATGGAAATAAGACATACCGTTTATGTTTCTGTAGCATATAAAAAATGATTATAGCTACCAAGAAAATATTCATCTGGCATAGACTTAAAGATAATATCCATGAAATGTGCCTTAGTTTTTACGTCTATACAACATGGGCATTTTAGATCCCTTAAAAGCCAAGCTTGTTAATATTTTGGACCATTTTCTGTTACAAGACAACAATTGGAAGAAATTAAAGAAGAAATCCTCTTATATATAAGTCAAGATTAAGAAACCAACCTTCAAATTCTTCATTTCCAACCAATTATTGGATAATTCTCTCAAAAATGGCAGCCAAGAAATCTAATTCCATGGCCATTTTAATTTTCCTTTTCCTTCTTTGTCACATAAACTTTTTCGTAGTCGAATCAGCCAATAAAATACGCGCTCGCCACCTGTGTAAAACCCTAATGTTTTATTTCCATGACATAATCTACAATGGTGAAAATGCCAAAAATGCAACTTCAGCTATAGTTGGAGCTCCAGCATGGGGAAATTTTACAAAATTGGGAGGAAAAAACCATTTTGGAGATTTAGTTATTTTTGATGATCCAATTACTTTGGATAACAATCTTCATTCAACTCCAGTGGGAAGAGCACAAGGTTTTTATTTTTATGATAAAAAAGAAATATTTACTTCATGGTTAGGGTTTTCATTTGTTTTCAATTCTACTGAACATAAGGGTAGTATTAATTTTGCTGGAGCTGATCCATTAATGAACAAAACTAGGGATATTTCCGTA